AACGTCCCAATTGATATTGGAATTAAAATTTTGGTACATCATTTCATACAGGAAACACATGCCCATGATATTTTGAATTTATTATACATCAATATTTATATCTATAAATTCGGTAATCTTTTTGAAAAAAATAATAATCGGAAAAAACCTGCCAGTATAGCTTTAATTTCGAATTTCAAAATATTTTGATTTTATTATATAGTAATATGATAAATAAAAAGGAAACGATTCTAAAAATTTATTGAGAATTTATAAAATTTATTTTTTTTTGTTTACAAAAATAAATAATTTGCTTAATTTTTACCAAATCAATATTTGAAATTTGAAGCTACGTCTGACGCACGGGTTTCCCCTTAAAAAAATGTAATCTCGCATAAACGCCATTTTATATTGAAACTGTATATCTTTTAGTGTTTTAAAATATTTAAAAAGTAATTCCACCAGCTCCGCTCACTCCTCCAGACCGACCCTGCAACCTGAAAAAGATAGTCGAGTTTTAGTTCTTATACTACATAGCGTAAATAGAATTCCGTGTTGCGTAAGCTGTAAGAGTATAAAATTTACTTTGTTAAAAATATCAAAATATTTGCATATAATAAAATTTAGTGGTTAATTTAAAAAATTATCTTAATACATATTATATGACAATAAATCTTTGAATAAAACAATAATTGGGTATTATGATGAATAAAAAGAGGGTGATTTTATTTTGGTATAAAATGTCCGAACTTAAATAGTATAAATTTCATTTGGTATGAAGAGAAGTGTATTTGAATTTTGAAGATACAATAAGTTGTATGAATTTTATTTAGTACAAGTATGAAAGTCGAAGTTTAGGTTGATTTGTTATAAAATCAAGGTGATATGATTCTCAAGCTTTACTGTTTTAAAATATTCCCATAATAACTTATCATAAGATAAGAAAATTGGTGTGTATTTCTCTAAAAAATTAGAAAAATATTTGAAGAAATATTTGTTAATAAAACTTAAAATTTATAATTTAATTATAGAGAATTAGTTGATAATTTTGACGATAAGGTAGCCGACAACAATCTAGAAAATTTTGAGACTGGTAAAATATAGATATACTATACAAGGATGTTTATTGTGTAGTCCAAATTTAGATTCCAAATTTAAAATGAAAATAAGTAATTATTTATTAACTTGGAGGTAATTAGAATAGTCAATTACTTATAGTTTAAAAAATTACTCAACTATATAATTTTTTTGAAGTGAAGAGTTTATACAAAAATAAATTTATTTTAATTAATTAAATAATATAAAAATTTATTTTTTATTTATTATTCACATAGATTTTTAAATATATGATAAAATTTTATCAAAATAATTATTTTATGTAACCACATTGTATTCAAATTGAATTTCTGAATAAAAATTTCAAAACGACAATTATTTTGAAATGATATAATGTAGTTTAATATCATTTATGTGCACCGTACGAGTTGATTTTATATTTTAAATTTATAAATATTATTTAATGAGTATTTTTAATTTATAAATCTTAATGAATATCTCTTACCCGTGCATCGCACGGGATTCGTACTAGTTCCAATACTAAGCTACTCTTTAAGAGACTTTTTTTGATTGAAAAATATTGATATATTTCCAAAATGGATAACATTGGTAAAATTGAGGAGAAAGTGTATATATAATTTAATTTCTTAATCAATGTTATTCTTTTCCTAACTAGATTGTCTTTTATATCGATCTAATTTTCATAATCGAGTTTAATAAGATAATCACGAGAATGCAAATTTTCGCAATTTCAAAGTCAAGATCCACAAGATATTAGGACTGCTTTCTATTTTGACCAAATTTCATTACACATTGAACAACACTCTACAAATTAGATACATATATTATTGGCATAATTTCAAAATTGGTCCTATAATTCGGCCACTTTCTAAAAAATCATCCCGTCATTGGCCACTTTCAAACTTGGTCCTATAATTTGACATTTTAATCAAATTTGGTCATTTTTATCCAGAATATGGATTAAATTGAGATTACAAAAGGACCAAAATGTCAAATTATAGGACCAAATTTGATTAGAAAAGGACCAAATTTGATTAAATGGACAATTTATAGGACCAAGATTGAAAGTGGCCAATGGCGGGGTGGTTTTTTGGAAAGTGGCCAAATTATAGGACCAATTTTGAAATTATGCCTATATTATTTATATTCCCTTCAAATTTAGTAAATTTAAAAGAGTAAAATCTGAAACATGTTAAAGAAAATTTATTTGTCAAACCAAGCAAGTATTGTCACAACCTTCATATCAATTTTCTAGAAATCGGGCCAAAATAGAAATTCATTTCATGTCAAATATATATTAAGGAAAATTATTGGTGCATTTAGGATGTTTCTCACTTCCTACAAGTAATTTATTGGGCTCCAAAATTTATCTCAATGATTTAATGTCATACTGTACCAACCGTTATTAACGAAAATACCAAATACCGGTGGTCTCACCAATATGGTTACTCTGTAAATAGCATTTTGGCCAAAATACCGATTTTATATTGAAAAATACGCATTTTATCGTAAAATACCGGTTTATACTGAGTTTTGTTTTTAAATAAAATAATTTTAGTATATATTTACTAATTTATTTATATGAATAGAAAGTATTAAACTTATTTTAAAATGTTTACATATTTATTTATATAAATAGAAAGTATCAAACGTATTTTAAAATGTTTACATTGTTATTAAATTTTAATCAATATAATAATTATTAAAGATAGTATTATACATTATTTATATTATAATGACAAATTAATTTCATTTTTATTGCAACCGGTAAATTAAACAGTAAAACCGTTAGATTGCGTACCAGTGGCTCGTCCAATATGATTACTAGTACAATATTTAAAACATCGATTGATCCAATAACTATCCAAATTCAGCAAATTTGGTCCAATTTCGATGCCAAACGCCTGAATCTAACATACATTTGTGGTCTGAAATTGGTCCAGTAACTCTTAAATTTCAGAGTAACTGGACCACTTCATACCTAGATGGCTAAAATTTATGAGTTATTGAACCAATTTCAGACTCAATAAGTTAATGTTCAAAAATAGAAAATACCAAAAATTAGTGGACTAAGATTGAAAATTTTCTATCTATTAATTTCATAAAATATTGACATATTTTGTAGTGATTGTTTATCATCAACTCTTCTATACATTTTACATGATCATATAACAACTTATTTATATTCATCAGCGGTAAATTTAATCATCCTCGTTTTGCATATTTCATCCAACTAATTAGAAAAGCATATGCTAAATAGAATCATATATAGTTCACCATATAGTAAACATGTTATCTTTAAACACAATAAAAAATGTGAAAATAACACTATGAGTTGAACACATTCAGATTTATATATCTTTTTGTACAATCATTCAATAATAACAATTTTATAAAATTATATATATTTGCACGCACTAAATAGTAACTAAGCTAAATTAAATGAATTAAGTACATAAAATCCTATGAATCCAATATTCCTAACTCATTTATACATTTATGTAAAAATATATAGCCAAAGTGGTTAATTCTTAAATCTCTATACTGTGTTCCAGCTTAGTATTTAATGAAATCTTAAAATATGGCTCATTAAATATACAATGTAATATGTGAAGCTACCTAAAATGCAGTTATAAGTGAGAAAATAACAAATAAAGAAATAAAATAAAAATACATGTAATTCTATTTTAATCTGATTGCTGAAAGTTACATATATAATCTAAGTGAGAAAATATAACAAATAATAAAAAAAAACAAAAGAAAAAAAAGAAAATACAACAATTCGTACAGCTCAGGAACTCACTGTCCTAATTAACAACTTCACTCTCTTACTCCCAAGAAAAGACAGACAGACAGACTCCATTTGAAGTCTTCATATAAGGTTCTAATAAATTGTTTTTGTGTTCATAACTTGACACAGATCTGTAAGAAAAAAATGGACTTTTCTCGTCAATCGCCCACCGTGGGTTACGAGTTCGAAAAGCTTGTCAACAAAGTGAACACACCAAGGTTAGTAGTTTTTAATCATTTCCGTTCCATTACTTTTTTCCTTATTCCGGTGTTTGGGGTTCGTTACTCTTTTGTTCGACGTTTATTTATTCGCCTTTCCTTTATGGAATCGGCAGATTGTTTTTTGTGTGTGCGTATGCGTGTATGCATGTCAAGATGTTTTGGTTCGTTCGAATAAGCTTTAAAAACTTTTGTAAGGGAACAAACAAAAAGTGTGTTTCTGAATCCGTGTTCTTGATATTTGGGAAACGGCAGGGCTATTATCGAAAATGCATTCGACCAGAACGCTACTTTGATCAAGGTAACATTTTTCTTTTTTGTTCGCGTACTTTCCTTTCGACATGTTTACATACTTATGCAGCATATTCGAACGTGTGTTTGTCGCAGATTGATAGTCAAAATAAGAGAGGAAGCCTATTAAAAGTCCTTCAAGTTCTTACTGATCTGAATCTAATAATTAGGAAGGCGTACATTTGCTCAGATGGGAGATGGTTTATGGATGGTAAGATTTAAAGGCTTTTTTTTCCCCCATATTATTGGATTTGATATGAAAACGAATTTATTTTAATTACTCTAAATGCCGTTTGTTTGGTCGCTCTTTTTCATCGTTGAATGCAGTTTTTCATGTTACGGATGAATGTGGAAATAAAGTCTATGAGGATGAAATCGCCGAGCTAATTCAACAGGTTTGCATACTTGTGCAACAATGTACATGTGCAATAGTTTTCTTTTTAGTTCTTGTATTTATATTCTTTCCACCGTACTTCTACATAATTACGTAAATTCTCTGTTGAATCGGATGCGAATGCACAAAATAATAATTTAATTTAGGATAAATTATGAGATAACTATTGGATATGGAAACTTTTTAACTCGTTTAAATGGCGAATTTATACCGACTCATTTAAGAAAGGTTTCGTTACTTTTGAGGTACATGGTAGGAAACTTTTTTTCAGTTCATAGGTGCTTCCGTCTTGCTCACCTATATTTGTTCGGTGGCTAAGCCGTCATGGCTACATTTATGTAGGGCGGACCATTTTTTCCCTTTTTCATTTATTTAGTGAGTATAGGTGACACATGAAAACAAACATTCAGGTGGCGGCATAAGTTTCGACGCATGAAAGCCGCTTCTATGTTTGGCACGCAAAATTTGAAATGATGCCTTGTATAGTCATATATATTATATATTTCATGAATTAATTGGTATTTGTGAAAACAAATAATGTAGGCTTTGAAACCGAAAGAACCCATTTTAGTGTGTGATCCATTTGAGAGATGTGTGGACGTGGTGCAGTGCACTGCAAAGCACACAAGCATCGAGCTATTAGGAAGAGACCGTCCGGGTTTGCTGTCAGAGGTTTTCTCCATCCTAACAAATCTAAAGTGCAACATAGTAGGAGCTGAGGTTTGGACACACAACTTGAGAATGGCTGCAGTGGTGTACATCACGGATGACGAAGACGGGTCGCGGATAGATAACCCGGGACGCCTCTCAGAAATAAAACGTCTTCTTCTCCACGTGCTCATGATCAGTAGCAATAGCAATCGCGGGGTGATTGTCTCCATGGGTGGAGGATCCACGCACACCCAAAGAAGGTTGCATCAAATGATGTATGCTGATCGTGATTACGACGAACAATCTCAACCTGCTGCTATGGTCACTATTGAGGAGTGCCCGGAAAAGAAGTACAGTGTGGTGGGAGTGAGGTCTCCCGACCGCCCCAATCTTCTATTTGACACTGTGTGCACCCTCACTGATATGGGCTACGTTGTATCCCATGGCACCATTGACGCCGAAGGCCCCCATGCTCAACAAGTGAGACTTCTTTTCTACTGTATATTTATTAATTGGGTAAAATATTTTTTCCCATCCGAACTATCATGGTTTTGGCGCATCAGCATATAAACTATTTTTTTTTACAAACCACCATATGAACTATACGAGTTTGTCAATATGCCCCCTAAACCGGATATAAAAGTGGTTTAGGAGGCACATTGACAAACTCGTGATAGTTCATATGGTGGTTTGCAAAAGTATTTAGGGGGCACACATGGTGACCAAATAGCTTTTTCAGTCAAAACCACTTTTATATCTGGTTTAGGGGGCACATTGACAAACCCGTATAGTTCATATGGTGGTTTGTACAAAAAAATAGTTTATATGGTGATGCGCCAAAACCGTGATAGTTTGGATGGAAAAAAGTATTTTACCCTTATTAATTTCATCTGTCGATAGCGCTTTTATGAATGTGTGGTTAATATTGTGGTTGAGTATTATTTTTTTTTTCGTATTATATATACAAATAACTCACCATTTTAAATTTGCAACGTAATTAGGAATACTACATAAGGCATATGGATGGTTTTCCTATTAACTCAGAAGCAGAAAGAGAGCGTGTAATTCAGTGCTTGGAAGCAGCAATTAAGAGGAGATCATCAGAGGTAACTAATTAAATAGGTTAAGAATAAAAGAAAGACATTAATTAGTTAAAAATTGAATTTTGTTATAAAATGCGAGCAATATAAAGAACACAATATATAGAAACCGGATAAATTTCAGAATTCTTTCTTTCTTCTTCACTTTCGTATGTACATAAATTGCAATGTATCCATCACCTTTTTATAGCCAAATTTGGCACACTATCCAATACATTATATAATATAATAATAAAAA